TTTTCGCTATGATGAGTAGGGGAGGGGAGCTGATGCTGCTTACTCTTCGAGACCTACTATGTGGTGGTTTTTTTGCTCTTGTATAATCTATAATTTTGCTTGGTTGGCTGGGCTTCCTTTTACAAGATTGAACTATATGTACTAAAGGACTGCTGCGCCTATTTTACATGCTCCACCTGTTGCTTTTTGTTTCACCCTTGCTGTATCGCAATATTACTGGTTCGGTAGTTGCAAAGGTCCAACCAACAGCAACAACATACCCCGTGTATTCTCACATATGAGGTCTGGGGAGGGTGGAGTGTACACAAAACCTACCCTACCTTTGTGGGGTAGAGGTTGTTCCTGCTGGAGCCTTGGCTCAAGTAAGTTGTTTCTCAGAACATGTTTGAAAGAAATGCAAGGGTCAAAAGCTATAAGGAAAATATTGAAGAAAGAGAAGTACTGACATTAACAATATAGACATTACCACGTAAAAGGACAACTATCATAGGTGGAAAGGTATACTAGCATTATAATAATAACAAGAGTAAGGGAACAGAGGTAGGTGAAAGGTCCAATTAAATAAAATTGAATATATTTTTACATAGTACTACTACTCATTTTTTTGTTCTTAACATCTTCCAAGCGTTATTTTCAATATATGTATTTGTTCTCAAACTCATAATGTCTTGTTTAAACAAATCTAACACTTGCTCAATGGAATTTGTGGTGGGGGATAGGATATCATTTATTTTGGCCTCCTGTGTGCATTGATGGGGAGTCATTAGGGCTTAGTAATCCATGGTTCATAATCTATTAATGTTTGTTCTGGAGAACTATGGATCTTATATTCTAGTTTCTTTTGATCGAGAAATCAATCTGCAGCCTCTGAAAATTGGGATAATGAGCCTTCCCTTCATCCTTCCCCACCTGAATACCAGACTTCATCTTGGCACGCTGCTCAAACTCGTGAATTAAGTCAAGTCCCTCAATGGTTGCAATTTGAGCTTAACCCAAGAGGCGGGATCTTATTTTCTTTTTGTCTGAGATTTGCTGTCCTAGGGGGTTCATAAGTTATGAAATGTGCTCTTTCTATTAAACATGTCCAAACTTTGGCTATGTAACCGTGTAGCTCACTTTTAAGTAAGTAATAAGGTATGTTTTTATTTAACAATGGTAGATTATGACCATGACTTGATTCCAGTGGAATGATATGTCTCATTTTGATGGCCACTGCTTTGAACTATAAGTTTTCATTGTTTAAACTGTAGTTGTTCCAATCAATTCCTTTTAATGATTCCTCATAGATACTGCTGATCTGTGGTTATTCAGGAAAGAATTTGATGTTGAAAGAGCCATTGAAGAGAAAGAAGTTGAGCAAAACCATCCTCGTAGTGGTCCAAATAGTAAAAATAATTCGAATTCGGAGCTAGAGTGAGTATAATACTTCTGTTAAGTAGTCTCAATAATTGACATTCTATTAGCACGCTAGGCATGTGATTAACTCAATAGATGTGATGGTGGCAGCTATCCAAAGGGCTTGATCATTGCATTTAAGTTGAAGAGGATCTCTGCTAAAAGCTCTACAGATCAGAATGGTAATCATGAACTGGCTACTGAAAGCGCAAGTGCTCCTGAAACAGGAGGCAATAAAGATACAACAGTAGACAATGTTGAAATGACAGATGAGAAGGTCCCAGGAGGTATTAAAGATGGAGACAATGATGAGAATGTTGAGAAGGGTGAAAATGTTGAGAAGGGTGATAAAAAAGATGCAGAGGATGGGAATGGGGAGACTGATGTTCAGAATCCTGTTGTTGCCGAGAAATCCATGGACACTCCAACTGAAGATGTTGAGCAAGCTTCAGCGGAAGAAAAATTATCCATTGCTGCTTGCAAGGATAACAAAGATATCGTTATGCGTGAAGACCTGAAGAGCGTATTCCAAAAATTTGGTACTGTAAAGGTAAAATTCGTCCTTAATTATTCATTTGATACTTCTTCATTCTAATGATGTATGCATAGTTTGTTCTATATATGTTTTTCTTTTGATAAATGATTTTGCTTTATATATATGTTGTTCTTAGGGTAATTTCTTCATATTATTTATTGCTGTCTCTTTTTTATCCTTCTGTTGGATTAGCAAAATGAACGTTGTTGTTTTCTCTCTGCTTGGATAAACTCTCTTTGTGCCCATTAAATCAGTTGCGATTTTGGAACAGAAGTATTAGCAATCCAAATCTATTAATCTACTTGGCATTTTGCTGGGATTTCATATTATATTAATGAAACTGTTAAAAAATTTATTTTTAGTTGCATATTTGTGTATTAAGGACCCAAATACCTTTCTCAAAGAAGTTAGAGAATACTTGTGTATCAGTGACATGATACCATGTTTTTCTGGTTTCTTTCCACATTTCCATAATGGTTGTTTTTCCTGGAAGTTGTTTAAGATCAGGATATCTAGGTCAAATAAAACTGTAAATGCATTAGGAAAGCATAGTGTGACATTTGTAGTTTTATGGGTTTTCTTGTGCAGTTCATCGATTTCGCGATTGGAGCAGAATCAGGATATATAAGGTTTGAAAGTGAAGGGGCTGCACAGAAAGCACGTGCTGCTGGTGTACTTGCTGAGGAAGGTGGTTTGGCGGTGAAAAATTTCATTGCTGTCTTGGACCCTGTTACTGGTGGGTGCTTTTATTCTATATCTAGAATTGCATTGATATTATCAATTGACCAATGTTTATTTGTGCAATAACCCTTTGTTTTTGACTATGCACTTCAATTAACACAGTTTATCTTCTTTAATTTATTTCATTTTCATTATTTGTATCTCATCTTTTTGTGTGTGAATCGCCTCGGCAACCAGATAATTACTTGTGCGTGTCTTTTTAATCAGGTGATGCTGAGAGGGAATACTGGACTATGTTCCGTAATGGCCAGCAGGAAAAACGCCGTGACTTTAAAGGGAATAGGGGAAGGTAAGCCTTAGCTGTCATAATGTTATTCTGCTACATTCTTTCTCAATAAACATGTTAAGTTACATGATCCCTCTAATATGCGAGTTAGTGAAATAAGATAACCATAAATACATGTTACTTGGTCGCTGTTGTAGTTTCTGGGTTCGTTCAAAGCACATATTAGGTTATGAGGTCCAGTGTTTTGGTGATTAGTATAGTAAGTCAAGCTCAAGTACCCACAAAACTAAAACTAAAAGATGAAAGTGCATGCATCAATGATTGTTGAGATATTCTATTATGATGTGAGATTCCCCACTTGAATGAGTGATGTAGAGCCACAACTGAGAACTTGTTATCCCTTGCTTGATACTAATGTTGTTGTTCATGAACATAGGGGAGGAAGGTTCAACAGAGGTGGGAAGCATTCGCGTGGAAGGGGTAATGATTTTGGTGGACGCCCGAACAAATTCCAGAAAACTAGGTCATGAGGAATTCTATCTTTTGTACCATTTACGATGAATTCTCTCAACGTATCTTGTTCCACATTACTACGATGATATATACTTTCATCATCGTAATGTGTTGCAATTTTGTGCCTTAATTTATGTCACAATATCATAAAATAGCTTATGTTTTACATTTTCAATGTTCCTTAGTCAGAAGTGATATATTTACTTTTAACTTTGTTAAATGTCTCCATGCTTTTTTTTTTGTTGGGTTCTATAAGAGGGCATTTAGAGGAATGGTTTCACTATAATCACTTAAATAGCAGAAAATTAGTCTGCAAGTATTTTTTTTTTTTTTATATTTATAGCATCACTAGATTATATTTGAGAGTTCTGTGTTTAGAGAGTTGAATTAATAAATTTTGACCAAAAGTGTAGTTTTTAACCACATTGATATGAGAAGTACTGCCAATTATCATATTCAGATGGTTTAAGAATATTTAAACTTAAATATTAGAATATTAAATAGTCCAATTTAATTTCACTTCCATAAATAGTTAAATTAACTCTTGATAATCGAAATGTGAAGGCAAAGTGACAAATTATCTTTTGTATCTAAAGTGAGAGACCGAAAATAAATTAAAAATATTCATAGTCATTGTTATGAAATTTAATAAGGTAAGGAACACAAAATATCTCAGTGTTTCTTTTTCCTCAGTTTTGTACTTAAATTAGACAAGTACAGTCTAGGATCAAGTTATATATTTGGTCAAATATTTAACCATTAAAATTTAGCTATTCAAAGATTATATGAAAAGTATTACTATATGTTACAACTTATTTTATATCAATATAATTTTAAAATGTTCACCTTTCAAAGATGATAATTTTTTCCCTTTAAAGCCTTCTTTCATGAATAATCAGTAGTATTCCTCTCGCTAGCTATTTTGAATAAGAGAAGGACTTGATGCGAATATTATTAGACGTCCAATCTCATAATGTCGATTAATATTTATATTGTTTGATTCTTTTTTAACAAGTATTTTAAACTAATTAAAATTAGAGTTTCAAAACATTGATAATAAGATTAATTTAATAATACACATCTCTAATTAAATTTGTTTAAAAAGAAAAAATCCTTTTATATTCGGTCTGCTCCTATTTATTTGTTATCAACTTATCATTTTAGGTTTTACGCCTATTAAGAAACTAGGTAAATTTACTGTTATATCCTTATTTAATATATTTTTGAGTTTATTTTTTTCAATAAACGAACACTAATTAATTTACTTTGATTAACTGATATAGCTAATGATCTTTTTTTTTATACATTTATTTTTATGATATGAAATAATAAATATTAAAAGACATCTATCTTAAATAAGAATGATGATATATATAAATATGAACAGAATAGTAGTAACAAAATTTGCTTTTTGTACATTTTTGTCAAAACAAAACTGTCATATTAAGCAAGTATAGGTGTGTATATGCAATTCTGGGAAAACAAAAACCACTAAATTATCCTCTGCCTCTTTCACTTTATCACATCTTTATATCATTCATAATTTTTTTTATGGCTCATTCTTATGTTTTTGGTTTAAATTTAACAATAGCCTAACTTATTGGTGACCTCTTAAATTTGGCACGAAATTTCACTTAGACACCTCAAGTAAAGTGATGTTCATTTTAGACAGCTCATGTAAGGTCTTGTTGTGTCATTTTGATACAACAAAACCCTACATGAGGTGTCTAAAATGAACATCGCCTACTTGAAGTGCCTAAGTGAAATTTCGTGTCAAGTTTAAAGGATCACCAATGAATTAGGCCTTAACAATGTCATAAAACTTGATATTGTTGATTTGATATATTAGATTCATCTTTAACCGCGATTTCTCTGTAAAAGAATTCGAGCTTATGTTATATCTAAAACATGTTATAGATGCCCTTTGCATAGTTTTTTGTTTGCTCGAATGATGGAGGGATTTGACATTAGAAAATAATGTGAGAAATTCTCTACATAATATGTATTGATTCTAGACGAATAAATTTTATCAAAAATAGCTGGTGAAATAGATAATAAACATTATCTTTTATGTGCTAAGTAATCCTCGTTCAAGAAGAGATACATGACCAAGGAGATCCGGCATGATTAAATTGTATCTACAACAATTTTTATCTAGCGAAATCAATTTCATTATATTTTACTGGATCTAAATTATATAATATCACAAAAAGAAAAAAGGAGAAATATTTGTGTTGTTTTTTGAATTTGCTAGAGCTTACTTGAAACACCAAGGTATAGTTTAGAATATTACAACTTGGATGGTTGTTATATATTGTATTGTTAGTTTAACTATAATATTTATTTTATTTGTTATTTAAATTTTATTTACATCGTGTAATATAAATTCAATCTATATAGCAATGAAAAGATTCAAATTTAGTGTGATATCACGATAAAATATAATACAATAAAAATAAATAACAATTATCCAAACAAAGTGATTTATGAAGTCCTATATAATTTGCTTTTTTTGGTTAATTTGTTGAAGTTAGATGTGTAGTGTTAACCTTACATTATTACTTAAAATTGTTTGTTTTAATTTATCCATATATCTATTAAAAATCTTTCTTTGGTGATATTTTTATTTATTATATTATAATACTTTAACAAATTCTTTTCGAATAACGTTTGATTTGTGTGAATGAAATTTATATGAATTAAATTTAGCAAAGTAATTTTCTGTTTTTATTTTATCTTATAGTATTCCTAATATTTATCCATAGATGTTTGAATAATTTTGATTGGATTAACATGGCACAAAAATAAAACCAAAAAATAAGATATATAAAAGGAAAAAAAATTAGGAAACAAACACCTGCTAAAATTTGATAAAAACATATACCCGTATATAAAAAAATTGTTCATAAAAAATAATCTACTATGTATATATAATTACAAAGTATGAATATAATTTTCCGGCTTAGTTATTTTTTCATTTCTATGAACAAAAAATATCAAACAAAATACTATCAATTTTTAAAAATGTAAAATAAAACCCAAATAAATTCGATTTAGTTCATTTTTTTCATGTGAATATGATCCTTATCTATTATCATAATTTTATGAATACAAAAACTATAATTATGTTTATTGGCAATCTTATGTCTTATTTTTTTTAATTATAATAAAAAATACTAAAGTTTGAGACAAGTTTTAGAATTTAAAAGAGGATAACAATTATATTTTGGGTCAAAAAGAAATCTGAAATAGATTTTAAGAATCTCTAGAAATTAAAGGAAGGTATTTGATTTTGTTGGGAACTCTCTTTTAGTATTAAAAACAAACTAAATAATTTTTCATTTTGAGTTTCAGATAATTTTATTTATTCTGTTTCGATCTAAATATTTTCTAATTTTATTTTTGAACTATAAATAATTTCGTTTTGTTTTTAACAAGAATTCATTGAAAATGAACAAATACATTTTAATATCTCAATGACTAAAGTGTTAAAAATTTGATTGTTAATTTAGCGACGTTATTAGAAATTTTTAATCATCAAATGCTGCTGAAAAAAGTTGTTACAATTTACTGATAAATAAAATGCAAAATATAAATTTTTAAATTTCACTCAATTCACTTATTTCAAAATACATATAATAAAAAAATTACATTACAATCTGACTACAAGTGTCCCAATTAAATCGTTATAACTTATAAACTATTCTATTCAAATTGGTTGAAAAAGAGCCTCAGTCAATATTTTAAAATTTTATAGTAATTAGAAAGACAAAATTAGACATTTCTTAATATGATTTTGAGAAAAAAAAATACTAATATGCCAAACAACAACTTTAAAATTTTAGCACAATTTAACATATTGATGATGATTATCTTTTAATTTATTATGCTAGTGGTTAGCTCTCAGTCATCATTCTTTAGTACTTAAGTCGAATCACTGAAAAAATAATTTTATGATTCGGAGAAAATAAATCTCTATTCTAATTAGTTTAGTGTTATGAAAAAAGTAAGTGAAAAGTAATTTTATTTTTTAATATAATTTTTAAAGTGTAAAATTAATAGACATAAAATTTGGTATCGTTATGATTAGACCTTTTCATTTGCGTCAATATTCATTTTATAATGTGAATTTGATATGACATAAAAAAAATTGACCTTTATTAATAATCGTAATCATATTATACTCTCTATTTTTTAATAATAAAGGACATATCAAAATGAAGAGTAATTAGAAGAAATGACCTTAAAACTGTGTGGTAACCCTTGATTAAACAATTTGAGATTATAAGTGAATTAAACCGTTTTATTTATTGAAAGAACTTATGATATGCTATCTTTTCTGGAATCTGACTCTTCAATAGAAAAAAGAAGAAGATGATTGTGTGTACATCAACCGAGAAATAATAAGCTTAACATAACTTTCTTTTATCTTTTTAACATTTTGAATATTTTTGTTGAGTTGATTGACATCATTCATTCCTTTCTACCTTTTCATTATTCGTCTCTATGCAAACAAAAATCTACCAACCCACCCAATTAATAAAATGAAATACCCTTCACTCCAACCCCTTTGTATGAAGCTTCTTTCTTCGTACAAATAATGCTCGTGGTGAAAGAGACCTTTGCTCACGTCTCTTTTCACCACAAACATTTTATTTTAAGTTTTTAAATTAAAATTTAGCAAATAATAATAAAAATAAAAATAAAAAAAGGTATATTAAAGTGCATTTCTTTGGCTAAAGCATATGTAGCAGGTGCAAACTTGCCCGTTAGTATTGAAAATATTTGAAAATTTACCAAATATAAAATCAATCCAACGGCTGAGATTATTCCCCACACACATCATCCACCGTTGACTCAGTCTCACTATATTTTTGAAACCTTAATAGGGTTTTCGAATTACTTGTCCGCCCTCTTTAACATTTGAATTCCTAAAAGACCGTTTTTTTCCTCATTATTTTCTTCCAACAAAGACACACACTCTCTCTTTCTCTCTCTAGAATTTCTCTCACTAAATTTCATCACTTCATTTCTAGATCTTCAAATTTGTTTTTTCCTAATCGTGTTTGGGATCGATCTGCAAATGTGTTTTGTTCACATTATTCCATTGGTTTGGTTGAATATTTTGAAGTTGTGTTCGGTAAGTGCTGATTTTCGTATGATGGGTGAATTGTATTTAAATTTTTATTTTGGTTTTTGGGTTTGATTGAATTGAATTTGTGTTTTTTATGGCTGGATTTGTTAATTTATGATTTCTTGGTACTTGGGTAGTTGTAAAGTTTGAATTTTTTTTTTTGTTGTTGTATCTTGAACCCTAATTTGATCAGATTGTTTTGTTTGCTCATTTTATTAGTTTCTTTTTGTTTATCTTGCTTTGGGATTTCTGTTTATTTTGCTGATTTTGGTTGTGTGTATTTTACCTAAATTTGTTTGTTTAATTCTTATTGAACCCTCAATCCAGTGATTGGTGGTATCAATGAAAACCTATGTTTGGTAGGACGAGTCAAATCTGTGATTTTGTTAATTTTAGTTGTGTATATTTCCCTGAATTTGGTCGGACTCTTCAAAAATGCTTATGGGCGTCTGTTGGATCCTTCAAGAGTAGTGCATTTTGGAGGACTCGACATGGATGGGGGAACATTTTTGGAGAGTCTTGAGCTACATAGATGAAAACTGACTGTATTTATTAAGGGTTCTTATTTCTTTAATATATCTCATGCTTTTTAGCACCATTACGTTGTAATTTGCTCTGACCTTATCCTCTCATTTTGTCGTAAGATCAGGTAGGAGAGCCCACATCTTAGGGTGGCATATAATGAATTTGGGAAGACATTCTGGAGAAAATTATCGACCTTTGGGTGTTGGGTTATGCAGATTTATCTTTGTGTCAAACAACCATGGAAAGTGATAGAATCAGCACTCCGTCAGATGGCACTAGCAATAGTTACCAAAGAGTTCGACCTTTGCATGGGTAATTTTCAAAGCACTGGACTATTGCTTCTTTTGTGTCATTTTTAAAGTGCCATTATGCGATTATGTGCATCTTTGTGTATTGAATTTTTTTCATGTTGTGTTACAGAAACTCTTCAGTCTTTTAGTGGACAGGACATTGAAAGGCTATTAAGCTGAAATTTGAGTTCAGATATAGTCTTTTAGTGGACAGAACATTAAAAGGCTACTTAGATGAATTTTAGTTCGAATGTAGTCTACTCTGGTAAATCTCACTCAAATAGTCAGTGGAATGTTGAACTACTCACTCATCTGGTGCTAATGTTAACAGGAGAACTAGCGGTCCAACAAGACGTTCCACAAAGGGGCAGTGGACTCCTGAAGAAGTAAGTTGGCACTTCCTCGGCCGAGAACAAGTAGAAATTTTATGCATTCAAGTTGCTATTTTCTTAAACATATTTTCGTTTCCTTTTTACTTGTACGCAAACTTTTCTTTTTCTCTGTTGGGAGAGGGTGGTAATCCATTTCTAGAATGGGAAATTTTTCTCAGGTTGGAATGGTGGTACCTAATTAAAATTTCTTGTCCCTGTCTATGAGGTGTAGGTCCAAGTACAAGTAGATAAGGGAGTGTAGCATCAAATTATGATGAATCATCATAAAGCAAAATATATTAGAGGATTCATATCTCTGCTTTCAACATGTTTGGCATTGTGGTATAGTTGATTTGTCCATGCATTTAATAAAAGAGTATCCTACTCTGAGAGGCACTGGTGATGACTACTAGCTGCTACATATTTTGAAACTTTAAATAGGTTTAGGGTCTTCGTTTCATATTCACAAAAATATCTGAATTTG